CATTTTACTAGCTCCCCAGCTTTAATTGATTTCCATTCATTTCCATATGGTATACAAACCGTGCTTGTATGGACTTGAGGTAGGTAATTCATCACAGTGAACATCTTGTCTACATTATTTTGAGTTATGTTATTTTTGTATGGTAATGCAGGCTTTTCAAATCACTCTGCACTTAAAATTGCGTTAGCACTAAGTAATAAATTAACAAAAAAATAAATAAAAGCAGATACAGTGTTCACTGTGATGGAGTATATGGTGAAAAGGATGACACAGTACAGAAAGCTTTGAAAACAACTGACAGTAATGTAAAGTGCATGTGAATTGTAGTAATGAGCTAACTCATCCAAAAACACAGATGTAGTCCTTTAAAGTCTGCTTCTAATATTGGTATACCTCTGAGGTACATTTACAGATTTGCCTGCCACCAGCCTCCATTCCTCCTAAAACTACTCCCTGTATAGCAGGCTCTGGGGGCCAGGCTGCACTGAACTAGGCTGAGTTACACTCGGTAGCCAGCTAGATTGATCTGGCTGCAGTAGCCAGGGGAATATAAAGCAGGGCAGGGGCTTAAAGTCTGAGTCCCCCCAGGGAGAAGTCCTTGCTGCATAGGGAGAGGGGCATGAACTGAGCTGCTTCTCCCCCCTCCCTCTCTTTTTTCCTCCCTCTGTCTGCTGTTCCGTCTGTCCATCGAAGACCTTCTCCATCTTGTGACATTCATACTTGTCAGTTTCTCTGTCTGCTTCCATCTTTCTCACCTTTTCTTATAAAAATTTTTTTTCCTTGTACTTTATTTTCAGCATTTTTCCACCCTCATTTCATGCACATTGCTCTACAACACTCCCCTGCCTCCTCCAGATTTGCAAGCATATGGAAAAGTGAATATTATTGCTCATGAAGTTCACACTCAATGTGAAAATCTGATGCTGAGCTTAGGATTTAATCCATTTATAGAAGACACTTTTTAAAAAAGCTGGTTAACATCATTCTGTCCAATTGCTGTGATCTAAACGCTGGTTTTTCCCTCTGTAGTGATGGCGAGTGGCCAGTGGCACGCGGTATGATGTGTCATGTGTTCAATCCCCCGTGTACCCGCTGTACACCTCAGCCATATATAGTTTAACCTGCCACACTTCTAAAAGAATCAGGGTAGAGCAGGAATAAAAGTGAAGATTAGGCCTATTTTTAAGAGTAGAAAAGCAAAGAGTGTTGCCCGGTGCTGCAAAGTTTTTCGGTCTTCCCTGCTGTATTGTGCTATTCTGCAGGGGCACAGTGCAGAGCTGCACAGTGCTGCTGTGTGCTGTTGTAGTGTTGTGGTGCAGTGATAGCAGGATCGTCCGCTGGGGGAACCCAGAGCATTCTGTCTCACTGAGTGATACCCCTGTCTCCACTCACGATAAACAGCACACACGCACCAGTGTCTGCCAAGCCCAGCCTAGCAGCAGATCTCTCCCTCACCCCCACCCCCTCGCAAAGCTGCAAATATATTAGCTGCCTCTTTTTCTTTTGTCTTGGGAAAATGGCAAGCAAGGGGAGAGTGAGTGTGTGTGGGTGGGGGGGGGGACTGTGGTGGAGGTGGTGTGGGACTTACTGTACTGCTGTGGAAGAACACCCCCCTTTGTGCCATTTCTGTTTAGAGATCCTGATGGTACAGGGCCCAGTCGGGGAGGGAGGGAGGCTGAAACAAAGCTTCAGATGCCTGTGTGTTACCAGTAATCCAGGTGTGAAGCAGGAAACAACTGACAGATGAGGAGAAGCAAGATGAATTGCATATCACACACAAGTAGTCTGTTTCATTGGTTAGTACTGAAACAGGTTTTATACTGTTGAGCTCATCCCAGTGACCAGAGACACACGTTCTTCTTGGTCTTTGGCTAAAAACTGTAGTTTCTACCAAATGAAATAGACCTAATGAAGATTTTTGACAGTGTGAAGTAGTGGATTATCCAGAGTAATGAAGACCCTGGGTATGGCATGTCAGTTCACAAAAAAACTTCCATGAAGCATGGTCTCGTCCTTGCTCCTCGGCCCTCAGAACTGTCCCCAAATGACTGGAATGACTTCTGGGTCAACTTAGGAGAGATCTTCTAAGAGACGTGAGATGTACCTCCTGATTCCAGAAAGACAGACAACTTATAAAATGCTATTTTTCAGTTCTGCGATAGTTCAAGTTTGTTGATTCCATTGTATTGAGATGAGATCCGTCTGCATAGCAAGGTACCGCTAAGTCTACTTGTACTGTGAGCCTGAATAAAGTCAACTCTCCTGACGGTGTCCAAAAACCATTGCTCACCAAACCATGCAAAAGTGTAGGACTAAACTTTGCCAGAGAACATGAAAAGAAGCCTGACAGCACAGTCTTTGGTCAAGTGGAAGAAAGATCTATATTTGGATCAGATGGGGTCCAGCATGTTTGGCACGGACCTGGCCAGGTCTCCTGTTAAAGTGGCTACACAGTGGTGAGTGTGAAACATGGAGGTGGGAGTGTGCTAATATGAGCTGCATGAGCACAAAAAGGTCTAGGCGAGATGACATTTAAAGATGGCACTATGAATGCAGGGTTGTATACATAGACTGGATGAACAGATGACTCCTAGTCTCAAGAAATTTGGCAGGAGAAGAATTTTCCAACATGAAAATGATCCCAGACACTGCTAAAATCACCCAAGAGTGTTTAAAGAAGACAAAGTAAAGACTCTGACCTAGCCAAGTATGTCCCCTGACTTGAATTCAGCTGGACATTTTTGGATTATTTTAAAACTGAAGGTGGAGCAGAAAACTCCTCCATCTGACACGAATGACCTGTGAGGAATGAGGAGAGCATCTCTCCATGGATGTGTGAAAGACTGGTGTCATCCATGCAAATCTGCCATCAAAAATAATGATGGGACATGCAACCATGACCTCAAATTATAACAATACACAAGAACAGAGTCTCCCAAATGAAAGATTTACTGATTTGGTTGCTGTTAGTTCTTAAATATGAACCTTTCGTTATAGTTTAATTAGTCAACTATGTAAATTTCTGTTGTGTTTTTTAAATAGACTGGTTTTATTCTTCTTGGTCTTTGGCTAAAAACAAATGATATTTAATTGGCATTTCAGTGATATTGACCAGGGGTGTACTCTGTACTTTTATAGAACTGGTCTGGTGTTTCTGTCACATTATACACACTTACTGTACAAACGCTTCACTTCCGACTGGTCTTGTATGATCAGAGTTTCCACGGCCCCCCCCCCCCCCGTACACAGATACCTGATGTGGGCGGGGCGGTGACAACTCTCAAATCTGGCAAGTCAAATGTTTTTATTTAGAGGGAAAGCGAGTGCCTCGGTGTATACGCATGTGTCTGTTTGGGTTTGTGTGCCATATGTGGAGCGCCAGGGAGGGCTCTCTGGAACATATTGGTGTGCGTAGATAGCGGTTAATAATAGTAGCAAACACATAGAGCGATGGCAGCTCTGATGTGTGTGACAGTTTTACAGCCCCACACGCCACGACACAGTCACACACGTCTACACACACACACACACACACGTTCCCACAGCAGAGACAGAGACCTCCTCTGCCACTAAGCCCTTGGTCTTTGTTGAGTTCTCCATTTTATCACAGATTCTGATAAGTAGAAACAACTACTCCCCACCTACCCTGCCTCGCCTCCCTGCTCCTCCTATATGCTGCACACTGTATGTAGGCACATGCACATAAACATATAGCAGAGTCAAGCTCAGCCACCCACGCACCCACATATACAAATATACATGCTTAGCCACCCTCTCACGCTGAACGCACAAAATCCTTGAAGTAGGCAGACGCTCGCATACATCATATACTCAGCTGTTCAAATACACGACACAAACATATACACATCCCCCCGTAGAGATGGCTATGTTGTGCTGGGATAGCAACTTTAAGTTTTGATAAGGAGGGGCGGGTACCCCACAGCAAGGTCTCAGCAGCAGTAGACACCCAACCTGTTGTCCGGATCGGTCTCTGGGGGAGGCAGAGACAGACAGACAGACAGACAGACAGACAGACAGAGAGAGAGAGAGAGACGATGGCGGAGCAGCATCTTTCTCAGCTCGATTGTCTCCAAACAGAAAGACGAAACAGACCTTGGGCTCACAGACCGAGCTTGGCAGGCAAACGAAAGATAAAAAGAGAGACAGCAAGAGAGGCCAGAGCATAGCAGAGAGCCACTCAGTCCCCAGGATTGGTCTGCGAGTTTGGCAGAGCCTGGCCAGAACTGAGAGAGAGGTAGCAGAAAGACAGACGGCAAAAGGGACCTGGTGCCTGGCGTATGTTCTGGGCCAGGTTAGTAGCCAGAGAGATGAGGAGGCAGAGCGACAGACAGAGTGGGGACCCAGTGCTCGGTGGCTGTGCGGCTGGTCTGTAGTGGCTCACCCATATGGTGCTCTGCTCTGTTCCTGCTCCCTGTCTAAATCCATATGCCGCTGGTGGAAAGGTACCCCCCCACCTCCCCTCCCTCCACCCCTTAACCCCTCAGAGCTGCTTAGCCCATTGTCACTACAATCTGCCACCATAGCCTTGGTGTTGTGTGTCCCCTCTCCCTCTCTCCCTCTCTCCCTCTCTCTCTCTCTCTCTCTCTCTCTCTCGTCTTTCATCTTTTCATCTCCCTTTGGCACCCGATAATCGATGAACTTATTAACTGCTAATTATTCAAGCTGTGGATTGAGGATCCCTCCCTATCCTTGGAAAAAAGGAACCTTTCCACTCTGTTCTGCCAAATGAAGTGGTTTACATTACCCATTCATTTGGATTAAGTGCATTTAGGCTGCAGTGTTTGGGATGTGAAGACTTTGTCAGATTGCTATCAGCAGCGTTTAACATTAATCCCCCTTCTGTTCATTCACTTGATAGCATCCACTTAGTGAAAGCCCATGAGAACTTTATATTGAAATACACGGTTATTATTTGTTTTCCCTGTGATATGTGTTTCTCTAAAAGGGCGTGTGTGTCTCTCTCTGTTCTGGTTTCTCAGGAGGTCCTTCAGACGATACCAAAGTTCTGCTTTCCCTTTGACGTGGAAAGGTACGATTCCTCTCCGTCTCTGCTTCCTTGTTTTTTATTTAGGTTTTTTCACCTTGTTCATCCACACACACACACACACACACACACACACACAGGCAGAAAATGATGTACACCTAGCACTCCTCCCACTTATAGGGACACATGCATTAAAAAAGGAAATGAGATGGTGTGTGTGTTGTGCATCACACTGCTGTGTCAAGAAGAGCCATAAAGTTACCATCACTCATTGATACTGTTGCATGCCGATTTATTGGCTGTCAGAGTGTAATGATCAGTGTGTTTGTTATTGTGCACATGGGTGCAATTGCAAGTGGCCTTTCTGGTTTTAAGACCTGGCAAATGTTACATTTTCATGCAGACATTTTTAAGTCCAAAAACAGCACAGCTGTTGGCCAAATGTGCCTAGAAATGTAAATGCTGTGATGGCCAAGGGCACATGTTAATAATGGTGAGGATAATGATACCAACAAGTTCCATTAAAGATCATGCTGATTAGGTCATCAGTGACCAGCCCACTTATGTCAGGAGCAGTAACAGGTTTATGAATGCAGGTGTGTGAAAGAATCCAGAATATAAGGAAGCATGTTTTGTTCTAATAATATAGGTCCGGTGAGGCCAGCACCTCATAGAATAGCAGCAGCCTCTTATTTTCAGCATGGAAAATGACATGTTAAAATTCCCCTTGTAAACAGAGCCAGAGGGTGGGTGGAAAGGAAGGACTTTTTTTTACTGAAGCTTAGCTGCTGCCATCTAGTGGTGAAGGGATGTACTGAGCTCCTCAAGAATTTACCTTGGGATCAGAAAAGCGCTTTACAGTTTTTCAAGCAGCCTTACTGGAAATATTTGACATCAGTTTTAGACTTTGACTGAAGATTTAACTTATGGTGAGATTAGACTGCAAAAAAATAGTTTTTGATCAAATTATGTTTAGTTATTGTATTTTAAATATACACAATTTCATAAATTTACTCCAACCCTCTGTATTCAGTTGTTAAGCCCTTATGTGTGTTGGTCATTTATGAGCGTGTGTGTGTGTGTGTGTGTGTGTGTGTGTGTGTGTGTGTGTGTGTGTGTGTCCCCTCTCGGGTTTCTCAGAATCAGGTGGGGCAGAACTTCACCTTTGTTCTGACAGACATTGACAGCAAACAGAGGTTTGGTTTCTGTCGACTCACTCAAGGCTGCCGGGTCTGCATATGTCTGCTCAGGTAACGCACGCACACACACACACACACAGCACACACACACACAGCACGCGCGCACACACACACACACACACACTTGATTTTCCTTTGCTTTTTTGTGAAATTAGTACTCCAAGCTACATCCATTCTTTGGTCTCCCTGCAGTTTTTATCATATCATACATTGGTAAGTTTTAAAAGGATAAAAATATGCAACATACTTAAATTAAACAAATGTCAAAAGAGAGACAACTGGATGTGCCAGAAGTTCATCCATGTCACAAATCCAAACATTTAAAGTCACCCTTTCACATTTTACTTAATCAGATTCAAGGAAATGTGTGGAACATGACTTGTTCACACACCAGCGTCTTTATTTACTTGTTCCATTAAGCGAGACTTGGTCTGTTCTGCCCTTTTTTTCCAAATTATCTGTGGATCGCTCTCGGAACCATTTTTTTTTTATATCAGCATTTATTTCTCAAGAGTGATGAAAAAAATTAATTTACCAGATCTTAGAAGTGAACACAGATTTTTGAGGCAACATTTCCATTCATTCTCACACTTCACACTGAGCTGCACTACGCCAGAATAACAAATTTATATTCTCATCTGCCCACACAAATATGTTGGTGATGTGCCTATAATTATCCAAAAGTTTAGCAGTTTTTGATATTTGATAGGTGGATTTATCCTATCACAGCATACATAAATGAGGACACCAAACCCAGGAAAATTGCATTTTTCTTTGCATAATTACTCTCCAACAAAGACTGTTATCATTTAATTCCATTGTAATTGCATGTTGACACAATGTTTTCACAGATGTAATTACCTTACCGTTACAAAGAAGGAGTGCCCCAGTGTTAAACTCAGTGGACACGCTTATGGACGTAAAAAAAAAAAAAAAACTGAGAAAAATGTACAAAATACACCTATTTTTTTAATGAATGTATTTAGCAGCTTAACAAACAACTGAATGGAAAAAGACCACAAACCTTTTTCTCTTTTTTTAGTCAGTGTAAAGAAGCACTTCTGTAAGTGCTGCTCTCGCCTCCCCATGTACGTGTGTGTGTGTGTGTGTGTGTGTGTGTGTGTGTGTGTGTGTGTGTGTGTTTGTTGATGGACAGTCGTGGGTTTGTCGCTGCCCCGATGAGCTGCTGTGAAGAACAGTGTCCCTCCTCCCTACACCACCCACCCTTCCCGGCCAGCTTCCATGGCCTTTGTTTTTCTTTTCCCTCTCTCTCTCTTTTCTCCTCGTTAATCGGCTACTGCCACAGTGCGACAGCAAAGACGCTTGGCCCATAATTATGCATGAGGCTTCGCTGCCAATTAGCAGAGACTCCCCTGTCTCTCTCGCTGAGTTAGACATGCTAATTCATTTGACATAAGATGTATAAAATTCATTATGCATTCTGAGTAGTTTGCATGGCTTGCTTTATTTATAAAAAAAAAATGTATAGAATTTTTTTTTTAAATTTTAAATTGTGTTTGTGTTCTCCACTTATGTTTTCCTCTCTTTCTATGACCCTGATCTTTTCCCTCTTCTTATCCTAAATAGCTCCACTGTGTTGGGAAATGATAAGAGGAGGAAATGGTCTAAAGCTTAAAAAGCATTTTAGATATCTCACCAAAGAAATGTGTAAATTCCTGTGTTCAAGGTTCTCAGTCAAAAGTTAAAATGTTTTTTGTTTATAATACTTTAAGCTGTTTTCATTTCAACATATTAGTTATGCAAGACACTATTAAAGAAATGACAACAGATTGTATCTCTTAAAAAAAAATTGGTAACCGCGGAGGAACAGAAAAAATGCAGATAAAGTTTATCTCAAAGAATTATCAGTTATAATTTGTCTGGTTACAATCTAAAGCAGGAAGGCTCAGACACACTGGTTTATATTCATGTAACCATGTATCATTTCCCATGGATATAAAATGAAAATAATTTAAATTGTTCGCTTCTGCCTGATTGTTGAATCGCTGGGACCATAAAATTGTCACCTCTGCTTATGGTAGGAAGTGCCTTAATTATTGGGACAGTTTCATGTGGACAGCCCTTTGTAGTCACACAAAAACATTTAATTATAATGTGTTCTATCTTATTTTTTTATTCCCCCATCTTCTCTCATTGGAGGGATTTTCAGTTTAACACAAGTGAGTCAGGGATGAATAAAGTAGATTTTCTCTGTTTTATTTAATGGCTGATTTATTAGGATGCATTTTAGGGACTGCGTTGCTCTGGTTGATGGTCACTTATTGGTTAGCAGAGGGAACTTCCTTCCCTGTACTTAACCCTTGACCTAAGAAAGTAAAGGTTTAATGAAATCTTCTACAAAGTGTAAGGTGACGTATGATTACAGATGCCTGTGCATTAAAGCCGATTTAAGTCTCACCTAAGGAACAGGAATAAATCTTGTTCTTAACACCTCATGGGTGCTTTATGTCAGCTAAAAGGGCTGAAAGTGCTCCAGTATTAAGGTTTGTACTGAGGTTTGTAGCTGTGGGAGTAGGTGTGTCCACGATATCTGGTGATTTTTATGAATGTTTTGTTTGATTCCATTGAGGATTTATGCTTGTGTAAACAGATTTTGATTTATTTAATCCACGGTGATGTTTCTCTGTGGTCCTCTCCATAAAAACATAATTAAAAGTTCAGGAGGCATTTCCATGGCCCTGTCTTCTGTCAGATATTTCTGTGCTGTTAGGTGGTCTGAGACTGGGATGGAGAGCATGACGGGCTGTGAGTGGGCCACAGATTAACTGGTTCATTCTGTGAGTACATGGCACTTTGAGAAAACGTGTTTAAAATGGCAGGAGAGATTGCGGGGGCCCCCACGCACTGAGCACTTCAGTGATGGATGCTTCTCTTTCTATCGGAGGATTTGCAAAGCACAAACAGATTTGAGCAATGAGCTGTGACGAGTAGGAGTATCTCTCTAAGCTTTCCAAACTTTAACTTTGCATCAACAAAGAGAGCAAAGCAGGGGGAGGGGATAAGTAGAACAAAACAATACATCTTTAGGTTATATTTATTCTTTTGCATTTGAATAAGGCACAAAAACGCAGTACCTATTGTGGGAAGATGTTTGAAGAAAATATTGATAATTCAGGCTTGGCTGCCTTCACCAGCGTGTTCCTCTAAAACAAAGGACTTAACAGCACCTGGGTGCAGGAGCGTAATGACTGAGATCTGTAAGGCCTGATGGCTGCTTTGACAGCAAGGGTCCTATTTACATCCCCTTCAGCTGTGAACAAGGATTAATGTCCAGAAGCCTGACTTCTTAAACACGAGGCCTAGAGGAGGCAGATAATATAAAGGTTTTGTTCTCCTCCTCCTCCATCTTAGTCATTATATCAGACTGACCTTTTCGTGTGATGGTTAAATGTAAACTGACCCACCTTGAAGATATTTGTGTTGCATGTTGTTTGACGTTTCAGAAACAAATCTTCAGGTTGATATCTGGTGATCGTGTGAATTAACATACGTGTGTGTGATTTAGTCTCTCCCCCTGAGCGCTAAGAGGCTCAATGTTTCAAACTGATGGTCACTCAGCCTCTCCTCATTGGTGCGCTTGGCTGCACTTTTCTGGGAACCCAACCTGTCATCGGCCTCTTGCGGATTTGGTGATATGAAAATTTGCATTAGGTTTATTGTTTTCTTGTTGTCTGTTAATTCCAGTCTGTAGAACAGCCAGTGACCCATGTTTTGCAAACTCCTCAGTCTCCAGCCTGAGCAGGACTTCTTTGGCTCAAAACTCTCCTCTTACACGTACAAACATTTTTGTATAATTTCACATTTTCTTCTTTGTACATACGCATTTTAGTCATTTGCAAGATTTGAATTAAATTATAGTTTAATGACTTGTGTTCACTTATTGACAAAAACAAGTACTCAATCAATTCTGTGAGCAAATACAAGTCCACTTTTGATCTAGACACTATTTTTTCCCAACCCCTGCATCCAGACAAGCTAATGAAGCAATAATGGGAGTTTCTGTTTATTTAATTGCAACGCCAAGTCGGTACCCAGAATCATTATTCATGTGATGTTCAAAACTGCATCTTAAACTAAATAAAAATTCAGTACCTTGATAGGACACCATGTTTTTATTATTTGATTGCATAACAGTAAATGAACTGAGCCCTCGCAGCTTTTATGCCAAAAGAAAATGTTGGCTACCTTCCACCTAGAAAGCAAGTTGGCTTGGCCAAGAATATGTCAACTTTGTAAAGAAAGCCATGCTGCAGATGCTTTTAGCTTATGGTGGGTGTACTTAGTGATTAGTTTTAACACAAACTGCAGTATAAATTATTTTGAACTTGTTAATGAATTAATTTATTTCACGTTATTTACATAAGGAAAAGATTTATTTTTTTTTTATACATATGTGAAGGGCATATAAAGCAGCACAGAGAGGGGCAAGAGGAGGAGGTGAGGAAGGGGGGATGCAGGAGACATCATGGGCTGCATTTTTGTTAAGCCTGCGCATCTGGTAACAGCATGTTTGTAAACCACAGCATCACACGAGAGCTATAGTGTTTTTTTTTTTTGTTTTTTTTTTTTGTTAAAGAATATAGAATCCATTGTTTTGTTTTTTTTTTGTTTTTTTTCTGCTACCCTCCTTTTGCGTTGGTTTAAAGAGCACACATGGCTGGAATTCTAGCATGTGGAAGGCCCTTAGTATGAAGAATGTCATAATAAGCACTAGATAGCATTTCTGTTCTGGTGTCACCATGACTCTGTGCTTTGGAGCAGCTACAGCTGTTCGATGTCCTGCATACGTTGGAGGTATTAAGCATTAGGTCACTAACATTAGCCAGCATACACTCAGTAATATTGCCAGACTATGCTTACAAACACTACGCTTACAAACTTCACGCTGTTTTAAGTTTTGCAGTGTCGAGCAGATGGTGAAATTATTTATAGACGTTGTGAGGAAGACTGAGTTAAGTTTCAGGAGCCTGAATCCCTCGACTTTAGCATCTAGCAGGAAAGGACTGCACTTGATAAAATGAATGACAACCTTTGCATTTAAAAAAAATCTTAATATATACCTTTTGTTTCTTCCAGTTATCTACCATGGTTTGAGATTTACTACAAGCTGCTAAATACCCTGGCAGACTACCTAACAAAACAACAGGTAATGGTCTCTGGGCATTTACTACTTGCATCATTTAAAGTTTTATGTACAAAAGGGCTTTACAAGTATATAATATGACGATAAGACATAGCAGTATGATTTGAGTGAGAAACAAGCACCCAGTTTAGTGTTTCTGAAACTGTGCTGTGGTACGATCTTTTCCTCCATCCTGTTCTTCTTATGCATGCCGTCTTTTGTGTGCAAGTTCTGTTCACTGTTGTGAGCTCGACATGGCTCCCGTTGTTAGCAGCAACAATGTTGACATTTCACAGACCAAAGGCTGATCTGACACTGGAAGTTACTCCTGATGATTTACTGGAAAACAAATCGTTAAGAAAACACACACAAACACACACACACATACACAAATGCTAGCACTTCACAAAAGTCTTTTCCCCTGACTATTCACTGCATTGTACTGGCAAAGGCAAGGGAAATGTAAAATATGCAACAAATGTGCAGCGCCGAGTGCAGAGGGTGTAGGTGATGTTCCCATGTTTAGACTGAAGAGAGGAAAAAGGAGAGAGCTAGACAGAGCCGAGGAGAGATGCTGAGAGCTTTGGGACCGCTTTCAGTTGTCATGTCGTCACCGCTTCCTCCAGGACCCACAGAGAGCAGTGATCAGGACTAAGAGCCACATAAACATTCAACATACAGTACACACGTTTCTGTGACTGAAAGGAACTGAGCAGGATAATCTACTATATAGGCAGGAAGAGTGGGATAGTTTGTGTGCGGGGAAAGGAAGAGGAAGAGAGAGACAGGAGGATTGCTGGAAATCCTGGGTGACTGAAGTGTTAGTGTGCATGATTTAGTTTCTATTTACCCCGCTGTCCGTTCCAGGCGAGAGGGAAATGTTGACAGACAAGGGAAGACAGAAGAGCGATGAGGGTTTAAGGCGAGGGGTAAATGAACTGTTTCCCCAGGCCGTGTTGCTGACCATGCGTGTGAGCATTGAGCCTCTCATGACAGGAGGCTGTTCGATTGCGCACACCCCCGACACCCCTCCCTCCCACCTTCTTCTCTTTGCTGTATATTGCCACCCATTCCTCTCGAGTTTCTCCTGCTTACACATACAAACACACACACGCATTTCCTCAAACAAGCACGACTTATGGCCTGAACCAAAACAAAGTTCTCTGAGAGGGCAACAGGAGAAGAAGCTAAACAACCAACAATGTCTGACCTCTGCGTCGACAGTAGTTAGTTATTTTAAGTAGAAGTTGCAAAGTGTTATCCCCTTCAGTTCTCTAGCCCTCTTGTCATGGAGCTCATAAATGCTGGAAGAATAATCTCAGAGCCTGTCCCGTGGTCAAGCGAGCTGTCCGCATCTTTGGAGCGGGGACCCCTGCTTAATTACTGGCAGCCTGCTTTCTGCTGTAAATCAGTGCTGCTGGATAATAAATGTCTGCAGCTCTACACTCTTTTAACCCCACCGCTGCTAGTTAAAATGTGTCAGTCGGATGTTTTGGAGCCCTTCAGGCCTCGCTGCAGGATCGCCCTCTGCTTGACAGCAGCTCCTGTCCTAGCGCCATTCTTAAGATTGACACATAATTTTTGACATTAACAAAACAAATAAATAAAATCCATGTGTTTTTTTCCTCTTTTGTTATTTCCTTCTCTCCCACAGGAAAATGACTTGAATGACATGCTGCATTCTCTCTATGATCTGCCTGTGCCAAAGCCCTTCACGCCAGTCAACCTGAGTGTGGTGGGTATAGTTCTTATATTCCCCCTTATCAGAGACGAGACAGCTGAGAGAGAGACAGGTCCTGTAATAGTGTGTTACCTCAGGAAGCAGACTGTAGATCAGAAGAGGAGACACTAACTGGTGGCTGAAGTAGTTAAAAGTAGAGATAAAGAGGAAGAAATACTAAGAACCGAAATGAAACTGACACAAAGAAGAATGCAGAAGCCAGAGATGGCATAAAAACAGACAGAAAGAAAAATAGGGCAGACAGGCAGAAACAGACGGAGATTGACAACGTACAGAGGTCAAGATGGAGGAGATAAATGAGGGAACAGCAAAGGAGACAAAGTGGGGAGCAGGAGGAGTTTAAGATACACTAGGTAGAGGCAGAAAGAGACAGACGGCCCGGGACTGACACTCTGTTTGGAAACCAGAAGTGGCACCAACAGGTTTTTGAGTGATAAGCCCGAACTGGACATGTCCTCTCACAACTCATAGTGTCTCCAGCTTATCAAAAAGGGAAATGGCTTAATGAGCCCAGGTCCCTCAAAGATGGCCTGTGTTTGTGTTAACTCTGACACAATCTCTCCTTGTGTGTTTCCAGCTCATACATAAAACACTCTTAAATAGTTGTCTCTCCCATAAGCCTGGCCTGTGTAAGTAGAATGTAATGGCTTTCAGTGGGGCTGTCAAACTCAGTGTTTTGTTCAATAATATCTCTATATTCGAGTTGCTTACACTCCTCACAGTAATGGGATCAAAAGAGTTTCAAGTGTTAGCCTTTGTCCATGAGGACTGCCGCTCCTTTTGTTTTATTTATTTATTTTTTTTGAACCAATTAAACGAGCAGCTCTGAGTTTTTTCTGCAGCGTAGGTCTCAGAAGGACACACATCTAATTACACAGATGAATATACAACATAACAAGACTAATAAGAAGTAATCAATATATATCTATGTAGGTTAACAAGGTCAATTAAGATTCCTTCTGATTTATTTGCTCTTCATTATTTTTTTTATCAGCTCTCTAAGTCAACAAACCCTTTTTTATCTGAATCCCTGAGCTTCATTGGAAGAGAAGCCCTGGAGAGCAGAGGTGATATCTTCATCTCTTTTCTGGAGAAGCCACTAGTTTGATATTTAATTTATGAAGCAGAATTATTCCCCTAAAAGAGGGATTTTTTGTTTTATCATGGCAGCTGAGAAAGAAGAAGGATCATTGTCCCCTTTAATGTGTGAACCCTGTTTTGCTCTTTCTCTCCTTCTTTCATTGTGCAAGAATAAGAAGTTGTATATTGCCACTGGGCAAGTACTGAGAGATCGGCAAAGCAAGGAGCCGGTGAGTGGAGGGGAATGAGTGAACAGCAGAGAGGGGAGGAGGCTGCCGTGAAATCTGAAACTGCTGCTGTACTAATCGCATGGGAGTCACAGCTTTCCAATTTGGCCAAATAAGCTGCGCTATCTTTCTAAATATAACAAAACAAACTACCCTGGTCCTTGGTGTATGTTTCTTTTCCTCTGGAAAACAATCAAACTTTGTAAATGATTAATATCATTCCACTCTTCTATATTCTCTCTCTGAATATCAAAAGTCCCCCCCCACTTTATGTTTAAAGCAAAGGCAATTGTGTTCAAAAATCTCCTTGATGCCTTTCCAGTTAACCCACTTTTAATGTTTCTGTATAAACATGTATTCGAAGGGACAAAAAATAAAGTAGATTAGCATATAAACAGCCAGTGAAAGCCTGGGTTGAGTTGAAGAGCATGGCTTGTGATGATCACACTACCATGAATTTGTAGACCAATAGGGAGACATTATTAAGTAGACAGAGGAGAACTGAAGGCAAAGATGCTTTGAGATTTTTACTGTGTGTATAGCCTCAAATGTATCTCCCCAGTCTAAGTCCCTAGTCTTTTATAACAATTTACTTTTTTGGATCATTTAGTTTTAATTATCCTGTTACTGCTCTTCTTTTCCGTGGGTATATGAATAGATTTGCTAAAAATGACAATGAAACAAATATTTTTAGCAACTCGCATGTTTAACTAATACAGTTTCAAGAAAAAGCTCTACCAAGTACTCCATAAGTATTCCAACACAGTGGAAAGCCTGACTTCATTAAACGTATTAATACATACATTATCTGCCAAAACTTAGTGCAGCTATTTAACTGTTTACATACTGTAAGAGCCAATCTGAAAAATGTTTAGTTTATGTAGTTATTAAGAAAACATAGCCAACATAGCTTTATGTTTTGGAATAATAAGTTTGTTTTATACAATGTGCTCTATACTACACCGCACGTCAAAACTGACACTAGTCGCCAACCAGCATGCTGCACAATGATTGTGATCAGAACAAACAAAGTAAAACATGAACTTTTACTTCACTTTTACAGTTGCACATGACTCTTAAAATTCAATTTTATTTGACTATAAAATTAACTTTTATATTACATTTTTATATGTTCCTGCTGCTTCTGGAAACAGGGTGGAAATACTAGCATTGCTTGGGTATTTAGGAGTTTTCCTATCTCTTTACTGCAAATGTTGCAGCTTAATTTAGAAGAAGGCAGTACTAAATACTGTGCACGAAATATGACATAGTATTTCAAACATTTAAACATTCACTCACATTAAAGAAGGGTGCTAATGATCATATATCCTATACTCCCAGGGTGAAGCCATGGATGTTGGTTCCAGTTCAGTGTTTGTTTGTGCTGAGTCTTTATTTCCTCCAAGCTTCACTTGACTACAACAATGACCCTCCTCTGGGAATAGGACAATTGTTTGTCCATGATAACTGTTTTCATATTTTCCACATGCACTTGGGGTGAAATATTTTAGTTTGTTTTACATTCAACTAAACATCCTGATGTCAGCCACAGACAAGAAGTGGCCGTGCTACCATTTCTTTCTAACTGTGACAGTTTGTTAGTGTTGTATTTGCTGTCACTGTCACTTAAGAGTAATGTGCATCAGTCTTTTCACTCGTGATAATGAAAGTCTTAGCACTTGGTAGAAATTTCTGTGTGCTTAAAGAAAGATTTAAGAAAATTTCAGTGTCAGGCACCAGAACAATAGCCACTAAATGTGGTAAAATGTGCTCCTGGACAGGCTTTGTACTTACTGGAAAATGTTGGAACCTTTAGTTTACTAGTGTCATGGGTTAGGGTTAAATGAGCACTGTTCAGAATAATACAGAATGAATCTAATCTAATCTTTGGTCTTTCTTCATGGCATGCTCTTTTAAAAAATGTTTCTTTTTCTTCTATCTGGTGTTTCTGTAATCACGGGCATCTTTCTATCTTGGTGGTGGTAATTTCAGTGGAGTTGTTGATTTTTCCATGGTTCACCTCATGTTTGCATGCTTTTAATTATATTAATTGTCTTCTAATGTCAGTGTGTAGAATTTATTTGGCCGTTTACACAGATTTTTAAATAGATTTTTTTCCTGTCCAAGGTCTTAGTAAAGTTGCACAATACCTTGAGTTGACGATGGTTTGCCACAGTTGCATTTTACTGTATGTGCTAACCTATAAATTTTTCCTAGTCAGACTTGGTTTCAAATTCATTGCTGTTTGGCAACCAGCTCTCCGGTCATACATGTAGATGTCACGGGCCACAAATCTAGTAACTTCTGTACTATTAGGGGAAACATGGACTGTGTATTTGTTCAGACATTATTTGTTCAGTGATTTGCAAAACAAGTAGAGAGTAGCCACACGTTTAGACCCTGTACAGATGAAGAAATTGTACTGTTTTACTGTTAATACTCTACTATATTTACATGTTACAGTGGATTTAAATGAAGACCTGTGACAGATGTTCAAGCGAAGGCCTAGAGAGATGCAGGTGCACTAAGGATACAGGAGTGTGTGTGTGTGAGAGACATGAGTTTCAGTTGGTGGTTTGTCTACCTGTCTCCAAACAGCACCTCTCTCAGACCCCTTTGATCTAAACACTGAACCTGCCCTGCTCTCCCAAAGTGAGACAGGCAGCCCTGTGATCCTCTAAACAACCTGTATGTGTGTCTGTGTGGAGGCATACGTGTGCACATGTGCACATATACTTCTGTCTGTGTTGGTGCTCCACAAGGCTTTTTAATGCTTAAATAAAGACTCAGTTTTCCACCGGAGACATCACCCAGTCTGTGTCTATAGGGAGCTGCGCTGCTATTGAGCTTTCTCTGTTCTGTAGGCCTGATAAAAGCATTGCCACAGTTCAGACACCAGCTCAGCAATTCATATAGACAGAGCTGAAGATAAGCTATAAATCATAGAACAAAGTGAACGGCCTTTTCCCCCCTCTTCCCCTCATTCCCTTCTGTGTGAGTGGTGTGTTTCATTTGTGACCTTATCTCTCCCTTCTCCTGCATGTTTGTGTTTTTGCAGCACTCCTACTTCATCGCCCCAGATATCAATGGACTGCCAACTATCCCTGAGAGTGTAAGTATTCATGGAAAAAGAAAAGAAAAGAAAAGAGATGGAGCAAGATGAAGAGATATCCCTCTCTTCTAGAAACATCTCTGCCTCTAAATCACTTTTAATCGTTTAATCAGATACACTTGTCACCTTATGAAATCATTGCATCATCCTTTTGTTTTAGTTTTATCTCCTGTGGTGCTTCTACTTTTAATGTTGAAATTCAGTGATCACCATGGGCACTGAGCCGTGTTCACATTATTGCGGAAAAACAGCCTTTTGTGCACGCCTCTTCATTGTTGCGTGGAGCACGGGATGCGTTAAAATTTGTTGAACTTTGACCTCAGTTCACTGACTTCAGGATGCAGCCAATGACTTCTGACCACTGTTTGAACTGATGAAAAACAGTTTAGCCTACTTGTGCTTCTGAATTCCCAGACAGCCTGTTTAATTTGCGAGATACCACCATGCCGTGACCAAGACTGTTTCTGAAGTGTAGACATCTACTGCTAGCAGTGTTAGCACTGTAGCACAAGACTGTCATTTTTCCATAGTAATAATGTGAATACGCTTTTAGAGGATTCAAATTGGCCTCATTTTCTTTTTGATTTTATATTCAAGCTAGAGTGTGGATCCCTGAACCGAGACCGACTGGACCCGTCAGTGCCTGAGTGATCAGGCCGGGTTCGGACAGGAATTTAGAAATAATTTCAAAATGACTTTTGGGTGTGGGTTGGGTTCGGGTTTATAGGTCAAACTTTAGGCTATACTTCTGGAACACTCAAATATTTCATGCAGGAAAAACACACATACAAACTCAACTGTGTCAGACTCGGGTCGGGTTCTGACACGGTACATTATAAGCTTGTTGGGTCCAGGTCAGGTTCGGGCGCCACACTCTCAGACAGGGTCAGGTTCGGACAGAAATATGCGGCCCGAACCATGCTCTCATTCAAATTGTAGCTCAAATCCAGCATCACAAGTGTTTACAATAAGGGATACCAGATGTGATCAGTAATCAGTCTGACAATTTTAAGCAATATTGTCTCATACAGTATTAATTTTCTGATCAGATATCTGTTTCAGATTGGGAACAGTCATAAATGACATTTAAGTCTGCATTTCTCGTCCTTTTTTTTTTTTTTTCTACTGTAAAACAATATGTGCAGAGGTGGAAGTCCAAGTCCTTTTTGAGCCAACACTGCATGTCTTCTCTTTATGGCACACTCTGGTTCTCACACAATCTGTAGCATTGACACTTTACTGTAAGCAAAGACAGTTTGTTATATACCCCCATATATTTCTGTTCCTGTCTGTCTCCAGAGGAACCTGACAGAGTACTTTGTGGCTGTGGACGTCAACAACATGCTCCAGCTCTATGCCAGTATGCTGCACGAACGGCGCATCATCATTACCTCGAGCAAGCTTAGCACTGTGAGTTCATTCTTTCAGCTGCAGTCGGGCTCGAGCTCTGCCCTGTCAGAAACAAGGGGCAAATAGGTTTGCCTGAATATTCCAACTAGTGGAAGGATTCTTCATTTCAAAATATTGTTTGCATCTGTGTTTGGTATACATTTCCGAAACATTTTGAAACTGTCAGTCAAAATGTTGTGTTGTCAGTCTGCTGTGTTTGATAACGTGGGACTTCGGTAGACTATCTTACATGCACCCAATAAATTATATTAATAGACAATGTTACTAATTTAGAGTCATAGAGAGTCACTTTTGCTATTTTTGGCTTTATACCAAATTCAGAAACCGATTCACCCTCCCGAAAAGGTATGTAGCTCAAATATTGGGGCTGTTTGCCAAACTGAAATTGATACTCTTCATCAGTATTCAGATATCAGGATATCAAACCCCAAGTAGTGCAACAAAAATCTTTATCTGACATGGCTACACCACTTGTGCGGAGACAGTCAAACTGATATGGCTCCCCTCACCCTCCTACCTCTTCGTACCCAGGCAGACTATACTATGACAACCTGTGATATCCACACTAAAGCTGGATTATTTTTGACTGTTTATCTTATAACTGCAGCATATTAATGGCCCCCAAGCCTTAAATTATCCCTTATTACTTGTCTTATATCTCTCTCATAATTTAAACCCTCTTCTGTCTGTCCACATGAGGGAGGAAATCTCTCTGTCTTTCTCCCCCTCTTTCTGCCTCTGTTCCTCATTCCATCCTCCCCATGTTATCTTTGCTGGTGATGAGGCAGAGCCAAATGTTTATGACAGATGAGATGGGAGAGGGAAGTGATGTCATCCGGGTCCTATCTGTGTCTGTAATGTAGCTGGTCCTGCCTTCTTATCTGGTGTACAAGGCTGCAGAACAGCGAACAGCCGGAGGGGCCTGCGGTGGTGACGGGAGCTGGAGGGAACAGTGCCCAAGGATTCCCCCTAGGAGCTATAATCAGGAGAAGCTGTAAAAATTACCCAGCCCTTAGAGAATTTCACCTGTCTCCCCTTAGCTTTTCAGACCAGCAACACCTCTGCTCAAGGTCTAGGCAGCACACTGTGCTGTGACACAAGGGTTACATGATGTACATTATCAGATTCAAGGGTGAAGGTGTTTTTCTTTTTTTTTTTAGAGAGGAAGTGGTTTTTGTCTGTGATTTACAGTTTTCTGCAGCTCAGGGACAAATCCTTTTTTAAACAAATATATGCCAACAGGATATTTTAAGAGTTTCCGCATCAAACCTTTACCTCTAGAAGCCTTTTATCCTCTGTAATCCCTCATCCACTCATCTGTCTACCCATCCATCTTCCTCAGGGAGAGGTGTTTTGGTTTGGTAGCAATATATGTCAGGCACTGTAGTACTAAGGCATTTTCACATCTCCACTGGGATTACTAGCAGGCCTAGTGTTATTACTGCTCCTGTGATGCATTATTTCTTACTGTTCAGTAGATTGACCTTCTAGCTCAAGTGGAAATGGCTGCCATGATTCTTGAAGCCAGCTCTCTACTGCAAGTGTACACACACTGAAAAGAGACCAGCTCATTTTCCCCACCACTGTCTTGTGATCAAATATCTTAAAGGGTGGAAAATATATAATTAATGTCAGAGTTTGTCAAAATGTTTGTTAAAGTGAGGGTTAGCGGCCCCTGGATGGATCAGTAATACCGTATTTCTGCAGTCAGCTTGCCACAGATAGGGGATGTATGAGAGACGGTATTGTTAGTAACATCGTTAGTACCATCCAGCTGCTTTTCACCACCTCCGCCTGTCCAGCCTCTCAGCCAAGCAGAGAGAAACAGGGAATAGAAATAGGGAAGACAGAGAGGGAGAGACACGCATGCACACACACAGATATGCTGCATTTATTCTGTCTGCTCTAGGTACTGCCTGTGTTAAAGCCCCCGGTGAACCCAGCGTGTCAGTCTGTCGGTACATGGCCGGCGCGTCTCGCAAGCAGCTAACAGCAAAGGAATAAATCATGATCTTACAACAATGCGTCAGTTGACTTATGGCTGTTTCGTGACCGGAGGTGAATGGTACCACTGTTTTAAAAGGCCGGTCGGCGGTGGCGCAAGGGCGGGAGCCAGTCGAGCGTACAGCCTTGTCATAGGGCCGTATAATAGGGCTGCATCGGCCCTTCCTCTAACTAGTCAGTTGGGAGGACCCCCACCACCACCACCATCGCCCCACCACCCTCTGTGTCTTTCATCTGCTGAGGCCCCCCAGCTCTCGAGCCCAGCCTCTGCCCTGCCTATTGCCCAAACTCACACAGCCCACTCCTGCACTGGCTGACAGCAGCCGTCCCATCAGCCTGTCAGGCCTATGCTAACAAGGAGCTATCCATCCACCATGCCCTAGAGTGCCAGCTGTCTCTCTGTTTCCTGCCTTTTCCTCTGTTGTTGTTCTCCTCTCACCTGGCTTCTCTACTTTCTCTCTGCCTTAGTTATTCCACCTCACTGACATATTGTTTTCTGTCCATCTGTCTCTCACTCACTCTAGCTGCACCTTTCGTTCTCTCTGACTTTGCCTCCGTCTTCCTGGGTGTCTTAATGTGTCTCTCTGTTGTTGGGCATCTGCAGAACATCAGGACATCCCCCCCCCTTTCCCCTCAATCCCTTCAATAGACTCATCTCAGCCACATGCCATGTGTCTGACTTAACGTGTATGCTGTTCCGCTGTGGCTGAGTACAGTATGTGCATGTTGTGGGTGTTTGTGTCTTCTTTGCATGCACCTGTTCGTGTGTGTCCTGTGCACTCACAGGTGTTTGTACCTTATGCCTTATGTCTTTCTGGGAGAGAGTCAGTGACTGTGTGTGCACGTGTGGGAGGCCTGGCGTTAGCTGATACCCGTGTTGTCCTGTGTGCCCTCTCTTTCTCTCCCAGTGCCACCTACTTGTTTGCGGCACACCTGAATGTTGCCGGGCCTGACACCAGCATTTCTCAACAAAGCGAAAAGCAGAGCGTGGGTAATTGGTGACTTACTCAGTGCAGGGGAGGGGAGCGGGAAAGGCTAATACAGCAATAAACCAACAGAGAAACAAGGGAGAGGTGGCAATGGACAGAAGGACAGCAGGAGGAGAGGAGGAAAACAGTAAGAAATGAAGAATTTGGATGAAAACGACTCTTGGAAAGGACAAGAGAGAATTGAGTTTGGAGTATGTGTAAGGACAGAGTTGGAGGGGGACAGACTGTTTAAGACTGGTGTGAGGGGGTCAAGAGCAATTCTGTTGATACCTTTCCGCCTGTCAAATTGAATTACATCGCCTGTAGCAGCAGCTATTTCTCCCATACTCGGCTCTCGTTGTAAATTAACGTGCAATAGGCTGCTTCATCCTTGAGCAGAATAGGGGGTTGGTTATACTCTCAGCCTCATAAAGAGCTCAGACACCTTTATGCAGCCCTTTTACAGTACATGTACAATAATATGTGAAAGTGGTGAATGTGGGTCCCCAAAGTTTCTCCCTTTTCTGTCTGTGTTTCACTTCTTCATGTCCAGTTGTTCAGATAAAGAGGAATGGTGTGAGTGGAAACACACTGAGAGTTGCAGGATTCCTCTTGTCTCTGGTGGGTCCAGCTCTCAACAAAAATAACTTTCAAATCTTTGGGAAAACATTTTGATGTCTCATTTGTGAAGTTTAATAGTCAGTGACACCCGAAATCACAGACTGACTTTCGGTTCATGTCATTTACTATTATTATGAAAAGCATCTTTAGTATACTCACTGCAGAAAGAGTATGCTGAGACATTTAGTATGTGGTGCGTTCTGTATACTAGTGGTATGTAAATGGAATTAGGACACAGCACATGATCGCACTCAAGCTGGTGTGTGACCTCTTAGGGTTTATTGCTACTTATATCAAAGCTGCAATGCAAATGCTTTCACCTCCTTCTCTTCATTTCTTTTAATACTCTTTGTCTCTCTCTTTCTGTTTCCCCTTTGGTGTTATTGAATGAATGTGTGAAAGCCAGTGTTTGTGTGGACACTTTCTGTCTCGGCTACAGTGCACTCGGAAAGCTCTCAGGGCCAAACCAAAGACCTTGACTGCTTTTTGAAGCAGGCTGTCGCTGTATAATCGCTTAGCTTCTCTCAGAGGAAGGGGCAAGATGCACACACACACACACACACACACACAGTGTGAGAGGCAGGCAGCCCCTCATTACTGGGCAAAGCCCTGGTCCCTGAGGGCTGGACCCAGCACCTAATCCTGTATTTGTTCTTGGGGACTGTATCTGTGATTCTCCATTGAATGGAATATTAAGCACCCAGGTCTTTTGTGGAGCGTGTAAGCCATTTGGCTCCACTCATCTATTATTTATCAGCCTGGCAAATATTTTATCAGCCTTAGCCTCTCATGACCCACTCTCATGCGAACCACCTGAACAAGGATACAGGAATTTGTATTACTCTGAATTAGAGAAGGAAATATGTGAACTATTCCTCTGGAGTTCCCTCCAACTTGGCTTATCTGGGGCACACTGCCACCTTCATCGCTTTGGAGATAGCAAATACAAGAAAACAGAAATCTAGATTTGCTTTGTAAATTATCTTAGTTTCAGTAACCCCCCCCCCCATCCAGCTCCCTGAAGCCAGCCAGCCACCCAGCCTGAGAAGAAGAGAAGCAGAGAGAGTCCTGATTTTCCTTTCAACCTGAGAGTAAATCATGCCAGGTGGGGGGCTCACCTTGAGGCCTGGTGGAGATAATTGGAGTTGGTTAGCGAGGTGTTCCGTGCCATTACCTCCTGGTACCAGTGAATGGCTGAGGCTTGTCTCACGCTCCCAGAGGAGGAATACACTTGCCTGTTGGCTCTTCACTAAAGTTTGTATGTGTGTGCGCATGTCACACGTGTATACGCGTATCCACAGCCGGATTGCTGACCTTTCTTCATCCACAGCTTAATGGGCACTTACTGTCATCGTTTTTGGAAGAGGGAGAAGGGTGGGATGATTTTGATAGTAGCTCTTCCACCAAGTGCTTCACGTTCACACATTAATATTCATAGCATTGATTTATTTTCTAAATTAACAAAAAAACAAACTGTTTGCCAGGGAATTAATCTTGACAGAAGTGTGGCATTGTGTTTTATTTGAAGACAGCAGGCAGTGGAAATATGCATATTGCAGATACACAGAGCAAGACACCAATTAAATGTTGATTAAGTCCTAACTATTGTGGGACTGGGTGTATGAGAGATTGCATGGAGACAATAAAAAAAAAAAAAGACCATTGCCTTTTTTCAGCAGATATGAAAAATGAATGCAGCCAAGGCAAACATACAAGGAGAGAGGCACGCGGACACAGAAACGCTCAGCTTTTCAGATGTCCAGGTTTGATGTTTTGGTGGATTGCGATGGGTGGCATCCCCTTTTCGCTTTCTCTGGCAGCGGTAGTTTTTAGCCACGAGCTCGCCCGCTTTTGGCTGGTCATCTGTGACACTGTGTGTGTCAGTGAGCAGGGGGTCTCCTGGTAGTTGTGCGTGTATGTGTGATAGTGTGTGTCCGCTTCACACATTGACTGTGAAGCTGCAGCAGTATAACAGCGGCTGCTGCTCCAGGGTCCCAGCGGTATTGGCCTAGCCCGCAGTCTCTCTTGGCTAACTCATGTTTCATTCTTTGGCAATTTGCCCTAATGAAGTCCCACAGGAGCCCCTCAGACCTCTGTTCTCTTTCCATATTTAATCATGTTATTTTAATCTGGGGGATGAGCTAACGCCTCTTTCTCCTGCCATGTGCCTGTGTGTGTGTGTGTGTGTGTGTGTGTGTGTGCGTGTGTGTGTTGCAGGTCATTACTATAGTGACATTTTCATGAGATGAGATGTTAAGAGGGTTGTACTGGCTTGAAGACAATGACTTTAATTTTGTGTGTAATGTTGGTTTGACAATGCACAGAGCTATTTTGAAAGGAAACGTCATCTTCATGTGATTGCTTTTCACTGTTTGTTAAAAAATTTACTGTTCCATATTTTCTTTTTAATTTCTTAGTCATTTTGGGTAATTTAGATTTTTACAGTTACTGTCAATGCTGTCGGACTCCTTTTGTTGCTTTTGTGCAAGTCTTAAGAGTTCTATGACACTGAGTTACTTACGAACGCTGGGCTTGTATTTGTGCTCATTTTTTAGTTTGAAATAGGTTAGAATTGGTACTTTAAATCATTTTTCATTTAAATTTTGCAATGCAGTGTGCATGAGTTGCAACATTATTACGAAAAAGACCCACCACACCTGAATCGTTAAAGAGGAAGCACTGGCCTCATGTTCTCTGTGTGTAAAGCAGTTGTTGCCGTTCTTCATGTCAGTCTTCTCTCTAATTTCCTTTTCACCTTTTCATTGAGCTTCCTCTCCTCCGCTGTGTTTCTGTCATGAGGTTGTCAGCTGGTTGATCTCCAGCTTTTTTGCCCGTTCTTCTTATCCTCCAACAATAGCTTGGGGGTCCTGTGTTCATCACACTAGCGCTGGACAGCTTGACCATGCCTACAGGACACTGTTTGGATGGAAATAGAGCTGTTGTTCTCTGTAGAGTCTCAGTGTGGAAACCTAGATAAATCAGTTGTAGAACTTTATTAGAAATAAGAAACAGTAGAAATTTATTGTGTTATTTTCTCAATTTGTTGTAGTTCTTTCTTAGGGGCACCTCTCCAGAGTGAAATCAAACTTTGAGTAGGGAAGGGTATTTTTGTCTTCACTTGTTCTCATTTTTTGGATTATCATAGAAAGTTATATTGAGTTCATTCCCTTGCCTCTTTCTGTAGTTAACTGCATGTGTCCACGGTGCAGCTGCTTTGCTCTTCCCCATGTACTGGCAGCACATCTTCATCCCTGTGTTGCCCCCACATCTCCTGGACTACTGCTGGTAAGGCTGTCCACATCCGAAACACACACATACATGAGCAGGGTCGTCACAACAAATGTTTACACCTCCTCCTTTTCTCTTCTGCCACTTCCTCCCATTTTCCAGCCACCTTCCAACTCACTCACACGCCCACACACCTGACACGTGCGCACACAAACACACACTGTGCCATGTGTGCTGGTCATGCACTAAGCTCTGCTGCTAAAAACCTCACACATGTTCAGTCATTCTCCCACTTGTTCATCGAGTTGTTCCCACGATTCCTCTTGTGATGCGTCTACTCCTGTGTGGCTCCTCAACATAATGAACGGCCTGAATCACCTTGCTCCATATTTCATGCCAGTGCTAGCACCACACTTTCATCATCTTTGCCCTCTCAGGGGTTCATTACCACCAATCCAATGCAGATCCAATAAATCTGACTGGACCTGATTGAAACTGAATGGAGAGCAGAAATAACAGCCCATCTACATGTGTTCAACTTCACATCTGTACATGTTTAAAAAAACACAGAGAGGGGACGTCAGCTTGTGTATAAGAAGCTGTTTTTTGTTGAATCAGTGCTGATATTTCATACAGTTGCCTGGTTTTACTGTGAGGGGACACCTCAGCTTTAAAAAGCTATTCATCACTGACAGGAAAATGTGATTTTCAACACACTGTGAAGACTCATCATTATCTTATTTAATCACAGGGTTGTCCTCCATGTACTGATTGGAAAACAAAATTATGTATTCTGTATGTGTGTGTGTGTGTGCACACAGTGCAGCCGAGTTTCTGAGCATGCTGGTGTGTGTAAGTGCTGATGAAGTCAGTACTGTAAATACATAAAACAGAGAGGACAGCGTGTCCATCGCAGAGCTACAGGCCTGCTTGTTTTCACTGCTTCTTTAAGCTGATTACAAGCTTCCGAATCATTCTGGCCAGGAATATGCTGACCCACAGCTATCCAATTATTGCTGCCTCTGCAAACCTCATCATAAAAATGTTCTTTTTTTTATTATTATTATTTGACTGGTTTGTTGATTTTATTCATCTCGGTAGAGATTCAGCTCTGTGATTCAGCCTTTCCTCTCACTAGCACTAGCTTTCAGTACGAAGATGAGCATGACCGAATATACTGTACAAGTGACATGATAATAACCATGCAAAGTGTATTTATTTAGCCCAAAACAAAAAATTTTTGTCACCCTCTGGCTTTCTAAGAAGTGCTCCAAGTCTTTTCAAACTTTCTGAATCTGCCATCTTCTGAGAGGAAAAACACAACTGAATGTTCTGCAAAAGCGTTTATTGTTGTTGCTATTACATTTAGCAGTAATAATAACAGTTGTGCGTTAGTATTCTCTGTATTTTTTTTGCAGTGTCCCTCGTGGTCAGTGAACACTTAGTCATTAACTGAGTGTGTCAGTTTTAGAATCACATCTTAAACGTTAAGGCCACAAGTCAGCTACAACTTTGGAACTTGTCCAAAATCCAGTCCAGATCAGTTTGTTTGCTCTGTTACACACACACACACACACACACACACACACACACACTCACACACACACACACACTTAATTTAATGTTGTTTTCCATTTTTAGTATGACGGTGTTTCTTGAGAAAATCATTTTGAATAGTCAGCAGTGATGTTCTACGTGTAATATGATTTGCCTTATGCTGTGATTGTCTTTGTTATGATTATATTATGACATGCCCCCCCCCCCAATTGATTAGCTTCAATCCATCCACTGCACATCTGTTTTTAGATAATGTCCAGAAATAATAAAATAGTTCTTTATTAGTTTTTTTTTATTAATAATTAAATCTATAAGCTGGTACAATAATCACACATTATATCACAAGTTGTATCACAGTCAGGTCATCACTTTATTTTAATTTAGCTAATTTTGTCAAACAATCATACGTTCTAATGCTATTTGGTTTACAGTTGTGTAATAGAGAGAAAAGAAACAAATCCCCACTTTAAAAAAGATGCTAGTTTAGAGTTTGATGAATAACCTGAAAGACAAACCCTCTGAAACTACTCACAGCTTTGTTTTGCTCTTTCCATTCACAGTGCCCCCATGCCGTACTTTGTAGGAGTCCATCTCAGTCTGCTCGAGGTACGTTAGTTTATCTGTGGGTATGTGTATGAACATAAATGTGCATGTGCATAAATGTTCATCATAATAGTGTATCTCCATAATTATATTTGCTGCTGCCAGCTGATGTATACACTGTATATGCAAACTGTGCAGTATATCAGAGGTTAAATGTCGATGTTTTGTGAATTGTTTCAGATATAGTTTAACAATTTCAGGGTCTTGATGGGTGGATATGTTTAAAAAAAATCTGAATTACATTAGGTGAAGATGCAGTAAACTGTATATTGTCAGTTCATAGTTTATAAGAAACAGCCATTGCTGCACCTGGTTTGGTGAATTCAGTTCATGATTTAAGTGTTAAAAAAAGCAATTTTATTTAGGTTCCTTCATCACATTGAATCAAAAAAATTGACAATATTTTTTTGCCTTTTTTATGTCCCTCACTTCCACATGTACATTCTTAGCAAAAGACAGAGGAAGAAAGGCAGAAAAAACATCTGCAAACAAAGAGCTTTCTTCCTTTATTGTTAAAGCTGGAGTGTTGGTTGGGGGGCAAGCTGCCACCAGCGCTGCTGTTGTGTGTGAATGCATGTTGCAAGTACGCGCACATTCACACTTGTGTGTAAGTGTTAGTATGTCAGGTGTTTGTGTGTAATTGAGCAAATGCATATGTTTTGAAATGTGCATGTGTGTTTCGGTGCGTGTGCGCGCGTGTGTGATATTTGTCTGACAGGTGCGGCAGTGGCAGTATTTATCACACTCTGCATCCGTGACAGACCCCCTTTCCGCCACTACATAATTAGTCCAGATCAGCATGTGAGCCTCCACTGCACAGGCTGTCACAAAAGTGACAAACTAGAAATTCACACACTAAGCTGCCCCGCCACCCCCCAACACACACACACATACCTGTCTGCATCCTGCACCACAAAAATAATTGTTGAATTTGTTGCCATCAGGTTGTGCACAGCACAGCATCACTGTGCTGCTGTTGATGCATGAGGGTTTGGTGCGGTGGAAAATGTTTGTGCAATCCAGCTTTGTCCTCTCGGTGCCATTCTTCATTTTGTGAGCATGTGTGTGTTACAGTAAAGATATTCAAATTTTTTTTTTCTGCACACAATTTTTCATCATTAATCGTAACAGAATGTGATGACAGTGTGATTTTAAATGTGACCACTGTGGTTTCTCCTTCCTGGGCTTGAGGACAGAAGCGACTGTCTGCTGGGAAACACACTTTGGCCAAACTAAGGATTTAAAATGTTTTTCATTATTATAATTAATTAAATCATATTTTCTGGCTCATTGTTATCATTATTATTTGAAATAGGTCAAGCACAGAGGACTTTACCAGAATAATAATGATTGTAAAATTCTAAAATAATTGATCGCAAGAATCAGCATTTAATTTCTTATGCAAAAACAGATTTTAGAAATATATATATATTCAGAAAATTTTAACCGAGGAACTTGTATATGCTTCTGACATGTAATGATATTTACTGGTGGAGATTAGTTTAATACTGATAGATGTTGGTAGCGTGACAGTGTGTGTGCTGCTGCTGACAACGCTGCACATGTCCTCTTCTAGAGAGTACGCAGTCGCTCACTGGAGGATGTGGTCATTCTGAATGTGGACACGAACACCCTGGAGAGTCCCTATGATGACCTGCACAACCTACCCAGTGACGTGGTGAGACACACACACACACACACACACACACACACACCATCTACTGTAGAGCTTCGTAACATTTAGTGTCTAATTACACGACACACAGAAGGTTCATTTTTTCCTCACACATTGTCTTCCTTACATAAAACCACATTCTCTTGTCCTCCACTGTACTTTCATACTCACATTTGTGCACACTTTCTCACACACACACACACACACACACACACACACACACACACACACACACACACACACACACACACACATTTGAGAAAAACACACACATACATGCGTAAACTTGTCAAAGTACAGCTCTGTCCCCTCCCCACATCATTAATGACTGCAGTACTGGCTCCTCAGATTGTGGCTGTCTAAAGTAAACTCCCGTCGCGCCGTATGACGCTTGAAGGCGAACAGCATTTCCCCGACCATCAGAGGCTTGTGGGAAAATGTGCAACTCCCTTCCCTTCATCTCCATCCATTCTAATCATTATTTCACAAAGTCTTGCATTTCTGCCTGCCCACTGGCACGTTTCAGAGAATGAGAGATAGGAGGAGGGAACAAGGCAGAGAAAAGAAAAGAAAAGGCAGAGATGGGTGATTTTCTAGGGGGAGAGAGTGGGAAGAAGGGGGCCAATTACCAGTGTGGGCAGTAAAGCCACCTGCCAGCACATCGTCTCTTTAATTAATGGAACACTGACGCCGGTCAGTGCTACAGGAAGCATCACCATGGCGTCAGGGTCACTCACACTTTTACACACGCACACACACACACACACACCCCAACACAAACATAGAAAACACCAAACTTGCTTGTCTTGCCTGTCTTTGTAGAAGCTGTTTAGCTGTTGTTCTGGGTCTGTGTACTAAAGCTCCTCTGCAAGGCACTGAGACCTGCTGAGGTTGTGGATGCACTATTTCCCACGCTGCTGACAGTATACACTCATGTTCCACCACCTACCAGACTCCTGCCCCACCAGCAGTATGTAATTCAATCTGCTGCCCAGCAGACTCCAGACCTGCTCCCACTCCCACTCTGGTTCTCCTGATTTAGCACAGCTCAGCCTACTCCACCTGCTACACCTTATGAATGCCTCCTTACTACCTGCATTAGTGCGCTCTTACCTATATTTTCTGCCATTTCCTGCCTACTTTTTAGCCTGTTTGCCTGCCTTATCGCCTGCCTGGCTGCTTGAGTTTCATGACACCTGTCTGCTTCCTTGTCTCTCGCTCTCTCTCACTGTACTTTCCGCTAGCCTGGACGTTTCTTGCACCCACTGTTGGCTTTTCATGCTTCTTTGCCTGTGTGCCTTTCTGGCTACAGTACCTTCTTTTTACTTCCTGCCTACTTGCTTTTCTGCACCCAGGGACTCGAGCCCTACATTAAATTGCACACTGAGTTTGTCATAAAAAGGACTCAGGGCTTTTGAAAAGTGACAGAAGTAGAGAGGAAAGCCTTTGTCTTTGCCTTGCGATAAATTAAGTGGCAGACTCGGAGCCTTCTTGCTTTGATCCCCTACTCACCATTTTTCCAGACTAATGACAGAACATAGCCCACATATCATGTCAAATTATACCACCTGAAATGAACACTTCACTGGCATTATATATTTATTGTAACAAATTGTTGTTGTTTTTGTTCCTATTCATTTTTGTCTGTCTCCTCTCATCTTTTCACCAGGGCTAGAACATTAATAAGGAAGCAAGCAGGTACTAATTGAGTGGAATTCCAGGTCTCTTGTTAGTTTGCTTATTAGTAGTGAGGACATGCCACATGGCATTTGATGTTTGTGTTTACACACTAGGAGATGTTTGAGGCATTGTGCGGTTTGTCAAACAGAGGCCTGAAATCTTGATTAATGCTGAGTGATTGTCTGCCTGAGCTGAACTGCTGCATGTTGTTTCAAAGCTATTAAAACCACTCCTCACTTCTCTGTAATTCTCACTATAACATTGGCTACTTAACACTCAGGCTTTTTTCAGTGTGAAACAGAAGCCCCGAGACCTATGAAGTAATGGTTATTCTCACTTTTAAAGCTTAGCATCATGTTGTATGAATATATAAACCATGAAATAGATTAAAAGGTAAAGGCCACGGGCAATTCTTGTGCATATTTACAGTCTAAGAGGGGAAACAAAGCACTCTGGTGTTGATTTAAGTAAACCTTTAGAGATCAGTCTAATTATGGCAGCACAGGCCACGAGCACATGTGGACTCCATTATGTGGCTTGGCTGACCAGTGGCCGCGCTTTCAGCAGGTTCAGGGTTCACAGTTGTCCTGAATTAGCCGCCGTCGTTCAGACAGGACCCCTACACTGGCTCCAGCAGTGCCCGCTCCTTGATGCTCTTTTCCCACAGTTTCACACATAATATTTTACATTTATTGGCTATTTTTAATGCTAGCATGTCAGTAGTGGTTCTGTTTAGCAGAAGTGGACTGAGTGAGACACGTATTCATAACGGGTCATACAAGAGTTTAGCAAATTTTTGAAATAACCTTTAATATTTTTCAGATTGTCTCATGAATCAAAGCCCCGTTAATTACATTAATTGTAATATTGTTCTGGATTTGTATTTTTAAATGTTGAGGGAAATTTCTATATGTTAAAGTTAAGACATACATCAATATCTTAATGTTTAACCAGTATATTTTGGTATCTTTGGAAAAATAACACAGATAAAGGAGCTTTTGTGTCGCTTTTGTTCTGTTATTTTACATCAACACTGTGATATTATTACAGAAGTATTTTTTCTTGTATAGTTTTAGTGGGATTTTGCATATTTTAAGATTTCTTAAGTTGAGCTAAAAGTTTTGCCAGTTTATACATGTAAATAAATCACATTAATCTGAGAGACTGTGCTTGTGTCAGTAAAATCAGTGTGTTGACAGGCACACTGGAAAGAAATACTCTGAAACAAACTGTAGTTTTTCCCTGGGAGATCAAGGTGTTTGCGTTTCTTTTCCTGAGATCCACAGTTCCTCCTCTTCCGCTCAGATTGTGCTGATAAAGTTATAATTGGCTTTGGTCGATGGAGCTGTTTACCACGCTAGTCATTAAAAGTATCCAAGAATAGCAAATTAGGAGAGTCTGTTAATTCTGAAAACAAACAGTGTGTGTCTGAATCAGATTTTTATTTGATCCCGGCAATTGATCTCCAACCGGTGACGGAAGATTTTTTTTTCATGTATTATTCTTTCTGTGCCACACATTCAAGGTGAGGTCCTACAATGCAGCTTACATCTTTATTTTCAGATGCTCTCTTTCACATCACAGCCTAATTCCTTCTATTCTCCTCCTCTCTGCTTCTCGCTACTTTGCTGACACCGTGTACCCATACATTCCTAGCCTTCATACATTTGATCATTTGTATTCCCAATCAAGGGGGAAATTTACAGCATACACTCCTACTTCCTGTATTTCAAGCCTGCATTTGGAGGTTTACAAATGAATGAGGGGATTGAGGTTGTGTCTGCACGCCTCTCCTGAGATCACCTGGCACACTTAATCAAACATCGCGCCTTTAATTTGGCGTTCTGTTTCCAGCGCTCCCAGAAAACAGCATCTACATCATCATCTGCAGCGGAATAGAGCAGACAGCAGGAAAACAGTCGCGCACGCAGACGCACAGACACACGCAAAGATACCTACACATTGTCAGCCAGGACTGTTCATCAGCGGAACTCGGATCTACTTCGGGAATAAACTTTTGCTACTCACAGGTTTCTGTGTTGTCCACCAGATTCCCCCATTTAGTTTAGATGCTAGAAAGGGAGCATCATCTCACATTTCACCAGTAAAGCCACTCACATGCTGAACTAACTCGGTGGTAGCTCAGACCTGGGAATGTGGTTGCTCCACCTCAGTTAAATATGGCACTTAACCAGAAACGCTCTTGATGTCTACAGCATATAATAACATGCTGATTTTGTGTCAAGTGTTCTGTTGTTGTTGTTGTTTTTGAGTTTGTACTTTTACCAGCTGCAAATTTCAAAATGCACTCATTTGAAACATTATTTAGCGGTTAGGATTTGAAACGGCGCTGAACTCTACATACACTCTCTCCGCCCTGTTAACAGCCCTTCATTTAGTCATGCAGAGTTTAAAAACTGCACTTCATTTTCACATAGTCGTTCTGTCGGCAGTTCACTCTGGATTGGAAGTAAAAAAAAAAAAAAAAAAAAAAAAAAAAAAAAGGGAGAGCAGCATCACCCACTGCGTTAGTTATTGAAGTGAGAGATGACATTTAGCTGTAGTTAATTATGTATGCAAAACTCAGCCGCTCAGCTGCTATAAGAGGTCAGCTTGACAAAGTAACCCCACACCGGGGAGAATCTCATGGCAGCGAGAAACATACACACACACACTGTAGACTTTTCTCGTCTCTGCTTTCTCACTCATTTTCATTTTGCCTGAGTAATATATTGTGTTGCGTGTACTTAACAGCAGATTAGCATGAATCATATGCCTCACTACATGCCGTAACAGTCTGTCTGTTCTAGTCTCTCACCATTTTTGCACATTTCTTTAATCCAGTGACTTTGCTAATTAAATTTTCACTCGTGATTTTTACTGTCCTGCCTAAGATTTTATGTGGTTAGTTGGGTTTGTAGTTGACTCCACCCCATCAGCTTTTTAAGTAATATACCCATTATTGTGCAGCTTGACTTAAAAAGAGAATATTCATCTTTTATTTTAAATTGAATAAATAAAATTTCTACATTTCAAGTTACATGTATTTATGGGCATGTGTGCGAGTATCTGCCGGTTCTCTGTGTGTCTCTGCTCAGATGTGAGTGTGTGTGTGTGCGTGTGTGTGTGTGTACAGCTCAGACTGCAGCACATCAAAAGAAAGTGGGAGATTTTCATAACTATTTTTTTTCTTTGTAGTTCTTTAATTGCATCCCCATGGCTTTCTTTCCCTGGACAGAATCTTAAACAAAACATTCTTTTTTGTGAGAAGAAAACCCAACTTTTTTTATTTTTATTTTTTTTTAACAACAGACAAGTGTCAGGGTTGTTATTTGTGAGGGTTTGTTATGCTCATGAACATTTTGTGGAAAATTTTAAACTTGGAGTTCTGTGTATAACTTTTGTCTTTCATTTACAGTTAATCTTATTTAATAATAAATGTAATCTTGTCCTGTGTTTTGTCATGTTTTCAACTAAAAGTAGAAGTTGAGTGCTTCATTAACAGCAGTGACCAGGTTTCATATGTGGTGTGTGTGTGTGTGTGTGTTCTGGCTGATTATTTGATCATTCTGTGCAGTTATGTTGGTTTATGTCAGACACAACATTAAGTGTTAAAATTATGATAATTTTCTCAGATGTAGGTTTATTGCAAAGAGTGTGAGGTGGTGCTGTTGACTTCACATCACCTTATTTATTTATTTTTTTTTATTACTATCCAAAAGCTTGTAGTGTAGTGTATGTGCTGTAGCTGCATATTCTGCATGTGAGTACGATTTGTGTGTAAACATTCACAGACCCACACACTGTCACACAGATGCCTGGTGTCGTCTACAGTGATATCATCCATTGCAGGATCATCATTGCACCTGCTAATTACCATCTCCAGCTGGAGAGTTAAATGGAGCTCTGTTCTATGTCTGACCTTTGACCCCATGCTCTTTATGTGATGCACTTCAAACCCTGTTTGGGGCTGGCTGGGCTGGGCCTTAATGAGGCCCCATGTCTGCCCTCTGTGGGCTGCGCGCCTTGATTGCCCCGCTTTCATCCCTGACCATCTTCCCTTGATGTAAATTGAAAAGATCACAGCTATGGGGAGAAGACCTGTACTGGAAAGGCCTCTCTGCATAGATTATGAATATCATAACTCAACAGTATTTTTCTTCCTCTCTCCCAGCCACCCACTCCCGTCTCTCCTCCTGCCACCCCTTCCCTGTACAATGCTGTAGTTCTAATTGGACCCAATGGGGGGATTCTCTGTCTTTGATCTCATCGCTGCCACTGTGACTTTACACTAAAAAATGTCACTGCCAAATAGGGTTATCACCTGTAGAGCCTGGCCTTCCTCTGATGCCTGTACGTATCTCGTTAGCTTCACTCAAGCTGTAGAAGTTAATTAGTTTGACAGAGCTATTAGCGTGGAGACATACCTGATGATTGTGGTGTAGGCGCCATATTCAAAATCCAATTACCAAACACACATTTAGCATTTGCATCTGATACTTGAAGGAGCAAACCGTAAAGTACATTTCAATTCTCTGTCAGCAAAATTTCTACTCTGGTATTTGTCATGCACTACAGCTATATTTGTTATATTTGATTAATTATTGAATCACCACATGACTAAAGAAGAATATTTTTAATCATGCTTGATCTTACTTGTGAATAAACTTTGAACATATGCCTTAACACTCATTTTTCTCTAACCCTGGGAAGCATAACACAAGTGATTGTGTCCCCAGCTCATTAAAAAGTGTTTGCCACTGCAGTTCTCTCACCCGTTCAAAGCTGCTGTACAGAGCTGTGCAGAGTAAACTCTGCTCTCCCGTCTTCTCTGACAGTCTTTGGGGTATGCCTTCCCCTCTTAGACTGACATTGTGTTCGCTTTGATTCCCCCCCCCCAAAAAAAGACAGTTTAATGATTTGCATGGATGAAAAAAATCAGTGAAAATGCACATAAACATTAAATATTAATTCAGAAAGGGCTTTACATAAACATAAAAGCATTTAGCACAATGAGTGAATATGGAGATGACACTTGTTAATTTAACCGTGATAAACTTTCTGTTTGATGCCTGGGAGCATTTGCATTGGCAGCATGGGGACGTTGTGGAGAGTGTGAAAGCCCAAGGGAGAGGAATCAACACTGTTCATTTTGTCTATGTCCCAGTTTAAGACTGCCACTCTTTCTTTCTCAGCCTCTCTGCTTCCTTCTGTCTCTCCTCTGTATGGGCTGTGCTAACACTTCGCTTCTCCTCCCTGAAGTTTTCCAGTTAGGCTAATTGCAGATGCCAGGCCACGATATCCTTCCAACACCCCGGCTTCACGGCGTGATATATTTGGCCACCTCTGTTTGAAATAGACCTGATCAAAATTTTATCACATTACAGATATGAACCGGGGTCATTTAATGGTAGACACAGCCTCAAATTTTCTCCTGCTTTCATCTTTTCTTTTTGGTCTTCCAGCCCACAAATACTGATACGACAGTACGAGTGGCAACACTAAAACTAATAGTACTGATAAATGTGATGCATGTTCCTTGCTGCTTTACAGAGGTTGATAAGCCAGACAGAAATAGCACATGAATATCTGACACACACGGAACCATCACCGAATGTTGCACTGTATTAAGAGGTGATGGAATTGGCTGGTAAAATATGCAATGCAGTGTTAAATCCCATAAACAGACCGCTAACAAAAAATGTTCATTTACTCTGTTCTTGGTTGTTTCACAAACACTTTAGCAGCTCTGCATGTGCAGTCAGTTTTCTCACACCATATTATGGTAGCACAGTAGAAATAAGGATAATCACCTTTATTTAGCCAAGTATGTTACACACACACACACACACACACACACAAGGAATTTGTCTCCGGTACAGAACCGAGGCAGCCATCTGCGGCGCCAACTCACACCGATGGCTCTAACCACTGGGGGCAACTTGGAGGTTCAGTGTCTTGTCCAAGGACATTTCGACTGCAGGCACCGTGATTTGAACCTCTAACCCTCCAGTTGGGAGACAACTGCTCTACCCACTGAACCACAGTCGCCCCACACGTATGAATGTGGAGAGTCCTTACCTGGGAGCCATGTTAATCTGCCCAGTTGTAGTGTCTTTGAGCAAGACACCAAGTCCTGACCAGCCACCAGTGGTGGTACTCACATAGTTTAAGTAAAAGTAGCAGTACCACAGTGTAAAAGTACAAACATAGTAGCATAAAATATGCAAAGTGGCACAGTTCACATTGATGTGCATCGTATTATTCGATGATAATTATTGTGTACGCCACATTTAATGTTGCAGCCGATAAAGGTAGAGCTCATTTTAACTACCTTATCTGCTTCTAATTTGAATTACTGCTGGATAACTTGTGAATCTTACACCAAGGAGTGATAAATCTTATGATTATACTCTTGTTTTATAAACCTCATCCTGACAAGTAACTAGTAGCTAAAGTAATCAAAAAATATAGTGACTACAAAGTACAATATTTTTCTCTGAAATGTAGTAAGGTATAAAGTAGCAGAAAATTAAAATACTCAGGTAAAGCACAGGTACCTCAAAAACTGTACTTGCATTATGTACTCTACTTGAGCAGGTGTACTTGCTGTTCAGTAAGTTCCACCTCTGTGAGCTACAGACAGGGTTCTGTCAGTGATATTGTCCTATTCAGAAAAAATTCAGCATTTATTTTAGCATTTGTAGCCTATTATCTGTTGCTATACAGTATAGAATATCTGGCAAAACAATGTAAAGTTTCTCAGGGACGAATTACAATTAATCTGTTTTCCTACTAATTGAGTTTAAAGGTTAAACACATAGGTTTTTCTTTTTAAAACTGTGATTCGAGCCTGTGTGACTGCTAACAGCCCACACCACACTGCCTTACAGTAATTTAGACCTTGTGCACAACCCAATCAAGCGTTGTGCTTTTGTGCTAAGCTGGCACAGCCCACACAGAGAGCTGCAGTCCCTCGCTATCTCTGCCTCCTCCTCCTCACTCTGCCACAACACAGTCAGGCTACTGCTGAGCAGGTGAGGAGAGCCTCTTGACAACTTCCTATCCAGACTCCCCAGGGCCCAGTGGCCAGAGCGAGTCTTTTGTCATCCTAAAACAAGCTCGGGCCTGCTGCTCCTCCATTCTCGCCTGGAGTCCTGGAGACAGAGCCTGGAGAGGGGAAAATAATTAAAGACATTTTATGTCAAGAGTCCTTTTCTAGAGGGAGTCCGGGAGAGCCAACATGGGAGGGAAAAATTGGAGGAGGAGAGTAAGGATAAATGGAGGGATAAGCGGAAAAAGCACGAAGGTGATAGGTAGGCGGGTGGGGGTGGCAGCTTGGAGAGAGAGGGTGCGAGAGGAAGAGAAGGGATGCGAGTTTCCATTTCCTCTCTGCTATCCCCTCCCTCTCACCGCCCCTGTCCTCTGCTCAATTAGCAAAGCAGCAGGTGCTCCCAGCAGCACAACAGATAAGCTCGGAGGAAAGTCTGAAGCTTTTTCCTTTCTTTCCTTTTCTTTTTTGAGATGACCTGCAAATGTGATACTTCACACCCAGAATGGGCTAGCTGTTTCCTCCACCAATTTCAGAGGTGATAATTTAACTTTTACCCCTTCATCTCTCCTCTTTCCCCCTCCCTCCCTCACTCCCTGTCTCTGTGCTTCTCCCCCATATTTTCTCTTTATGTTTTCCACCAGGTGTCCTCTCTGAAGAGCAAGCTGAAGAAGCAGTCAACAGCAACAGGAAGTGGTGTGGCAAGAGCCTTCCTGAGGGCGCAGGCCACTCTCTTTGGATCCTACTGGGATGCCCTTAGATATAAACCTGTAAGGATCCCGTGTCATTAGTCACTACAGTGATCTTGTCTAATAGCAACTCTGTGTCATATTAGGACTATAAACGTATTCACCATCAAATCCGGATTGAGGCAACATGTTTAAAGGTGTATTCAAGTTTCAGTTTATCAAAATTCCAAAAAACAACACTTTATCTGTCACGTCAGTTAATTTTGGTTTTATGTCTTTAATATGAGATGTCCATCTCTGGGATTCCTACCCCCCACACCACTACAACATTGTCTGTGGTGCTCAAAGCTTTAACATGTTTTGTTAAAGTAATCCTGCAGCATCAGACCACTGTTAAACTGTTTTATAGATTATTTCTTCAGTTGAAAGTAACAAATTATTATGTTTTTATCTAATGCATTTTCGGTTAACTGATCCTATCCGGGGTGAATTCATC